GGAGGAGGAGGAAGAGGGGGAGGAGGAGGAGGAAGAGGAAAAGGAGGAAGAGGGGGAGGATTCTGGGAGCCCTGGTGTTCGGAGATTGGTGATTTCCTTGCAGACATTTCATGACCCAACTAGGGAACCTCATTAGTGGTAGAAGGCAGTGGAGTTTTCAGAGAGGAGGAGGAGGAGGACGAGGACTGAAGGGTCTTTGCTGCCATCTGAGCTGGGTGGTTTTCCTGCAAGTATTTCATGACTCAAGTAGGGAACATTAAACATTATCAGTGCTAGAAGGGAGGGGGGGTTGCAGAGAAGAGAAGGAGGAGGGGGAGGAGGAAGAAGGGGAGGGGGAGGGGGAGGAATCTTAGCTTCGTCGTTTCCTTGCAGATGTTTCATGACCCAACTAGATAACATCACCAGAGCTAAAAGACACTGTATATAAACAGAGATCAAGGCACCCTCCCTTCCAGCACTGATGAAGTTCCCTAGTTGGGTCATGAAATGTCTGCAAGGAAACCACCCACTCAGAGAGCACAAAGGATCCCCCAGTCCTTCTCCTGCCCCTCTTCCTCCTCCTCCTTCTCCTGCTCCTCCTCTTCTCCCTCCACCTCCTCCCACCACAAACCTTACTCCCTTCTTGCACTGATGACATTCCCTAGCTGGGTCATGAGATGTCTGCAAGGAAACCACACAGCTCCGAGAACACCCAGGACCTCACAGTTCCTTCCTTCCTTCCTTCCTTCCTTCCTTCCTTCCTTCCTTCCTTCCTTCCTTCCTTCCTTCCTTCCTTCCTTCCTTCCTTCCCTTCCTTCCCTCCCTCCCTCATGCTGCAAGCTGCTAGAGGGGGGGCTCAACCTTGCTTTCTTCCTGCCCACCAGACATTCCCAGCTCTGCTGTCTCTTGACTACATTCTCCCAGATCAGCACTGGCCCCACTGCTTTGGGGATCCCCCCCCCCAGATCTTGCCCCAAAGTGCACCCCATTCGCCTCCAGGACACTGTCAACTGGAGATGCAGTCTTGGTTGTCTTCCCAAATGCTCATAAAAAAGAGGCTTGCAGAAGTGACCCCCCCTTTCTGCTCTGACCTCGGCTTCCCCCCAAAAGCACTAAGCAGATTTTTTTGTCCCGGCAAAACCCCTTTTATTAAAGGAAGGCGAATTTCTTGCATTCGCCTTCCGCCAAGGGCCTGGCCAACAGCCTTTCAAGGGTGTGATTAGGAGCACAGCCCTGATCTAGCCTGGAGGGCGGCCAAGTAACTGTCTCCAAACGCAGTGCTGACAAGGAAGGATTCAGCACAAGAGTCTCTAAGATGCACAGACAGATCTTCCCACTGTGGCAACGAAGGAATTGTTTCCTGCAAAAGCCCCCTCCCCTTTCGCTCCTCTTTTAATCCCTATGTCTGCCTGTGGCCTTACTCCTGCGTCGACCCTGAGTTCGTAATTGTCCCCTTCTTCTGACAGCTCTGTGCATGCGTGCACCGGGAACAGGCTCCAGCTGTTCCTCTTCCCCACTGATCTCTGACTCTGAAGGCAGCTCATAACTGTGGGACAGCCCTGGCCCCATCTCTGCCTCTGATGCAGAGCCCTCGTCCGAGCCTTCCCCAGACTCCAGGACTGGCCCAGTTTCCTCACTGTCCGGCTCTGCTGCCAGTTCCGCTAGCCACCGGCCATAATTTCTTTATTCCTCCCTCTGGGGCAGCGGTCCCCAATCCCTGGTCCATGGACTGGCATTGGGCTGTGGCATGCCAGAAAACTGGCCACACAAACAAGTGAAGCCCCCATCTGCAGGATGCAGGCAGCACACAAAACCACGCGCCCTCCAGTCCATGGCAAAACCTCTCTCCACAAAACCGGTTCCTGGGGCTCAAAAGGTTGTGGGGGGGCTTCCACCCCCTGTTGTTCTCCAGGGTCACATGGACTCACCCAACCAGGGCATCTGGTATTTGCAGCGGCACTGCGAAGGTGCCACGCACATGCCATCCTGGAGCAACTGTCCATCCGGGCAGGCGCAAGCATGTTGGCAGCTGGGACTCTCCACGCAGGCGGCGTCAGGCTGCTGGTCCTCACAGGTCCGCGGGCATGGCTTGCCACAGGGGTAAGACACCTGGCCACCTCGGCAGTCTGAGGAGACACGGGACATTAACCTTAACAAATCTCCCCCTCTTGTGTCAGGATTCCAGCGATTGCCCTAATTAAATCATGAGCCTCAAGCCAAGCTTCAAAAGAATTCAACAGTTTTGTTAGGAGCAGCACGCCGGCATTCTCCTAAATGAAGCCAACTCTGGCCTACGTAATTGACAGTCACCTGTGGCCCAGTTTCCCCCTCTCCCCCCGGGTGTGTCATAAATCAGATTCTCCAATTAAATACGTTCACAGGCTGGGTGTCGTCAATCCCATTCTCCAACGTAGGATTTTCCTGGCATGTCACAGTCCCGTCCTCCAACTGTTACATGTGAAAATTTACCTTATACACCCAAGAATATAAAGAGCAAGACAGGCTCCATATTAGTTCTTAATCTGACCTGCTAGAGATCAGAACTTTTCTGTAACTTCTTATTAACTTGTTATTGCTAAAGTTCTGTAAGATTGCAAAATATTATGTCCTTGGCTTGATTTGAGATTCGTAAGGGGTCACCTAGACATTATAGCATTATTAATGATCTCTTGTGTAATCTTTTAAGTGAAAACAGGAAATCCGATGATAATGATTGGAGGAGTTGTGAGAAACACCCAGGACTTTCTCGGGAGAATCTCTGTAACTTCAACGTGTGAAAAACAGGAAGTTTTCTGTAATCTCTTCGATGTGATAATAATTCTATATAAGGCTGTATTTACTGGAAGGGAGTGTCTCCTTCCTCCTAAACTGTTGCTTGGAGTTGGGGGCCGATATTGAAATATCTTACATTAAAGCCTTCTGTGGATTCTGATTATCGCAGTCTGTTATTTTATTTTTATCATACTCTCTCACCAGCAGAGGATTTTCATGCCATGGCATCAATAAAGGAACTCAGAGGATTTTATTAGGAGCAACATGCCGGCATGAACCTGAATGAAGCCAACTCTGGCCTACGAAATTCACAGTCACCCGTGACCCTGTTTCCCCCCCCCCTTCCCCCTGGGCGTGTCACGAATCAGATTCTCCAATTAAATACGTTCTCGGGCTGGGTATCATCTATCATGTTCTCCAATGAAGGATTTTCTTGGGCAGAAGATCCGGTAGCCTAGCTACAATCTTGGAACGATAAGTGTGGAATGCGCTTCTGGTTTTAAAGGTGCCGTAATGCTCCTTCAGATCCCCCCCCCCCCGCTTTGTTTATGGTAACTCAGAAAGAGGCATAGGAATGCTTTACGAGTTGACACCTTGCCTTCCTCTCGGTCTTCCTCACAAGTGAGGGGCTGAGGAGCCTTGTTCCGTCACAGTTCCCAATCTGTACTACGGACATGTTGTGGTTCGCCAGCAGCGGGTGTGCATGGCTGAGGTCTCGGAGAGCGAGGACTCGGATGAGGGACCTGCGTGTGATGCAGGGATGGGGCCAGGACCATCAGGGGGTGGGGTGCGGCCTTCGGAGATTGTGGGGGCTGGCAGCAATGAGCAAGAGTCCCCCGAGGAGCCTGTGCCCAGGGCGTGTGCATGCAGGGCTGCTCGAAGGAAAGAGCAGCTGCAGCAGCACAGGCGACTCGGGAGTAAGGGTCCAAGGTAATGGCCCCTCCCTGAGAAGATAAAAGCCCGCTGAGAAACTGGAGTTCTTTACAGAAGGCAAAGAAGTTTGATACTCGAGCCTGGTGGACGTTAGAATATCTGAGTTGGTGTTTGGAGACTCTTTGATTTATTGTTTAAGAACTTTATCTGCTGTTCTTGGCAGCCTTGCAAAAACTTGGCCAGGCTCTTCCTCATCAGAGCTCGTTAGTTGGAAGCAGCCTTTGATGTGTGAAGAAACGGGATTCGTACATGAAACACTGAAAGGTTGTGCTGTTAGCCTTTGTCTCGCGTTTGCTCTCTTGGACCCAGATTTGGGTCAGAACTGAAGACTTTACGCCACAGTTCCATGCAGGGAGGGAGCGGAGACGTTGTCGCGCATGCCGTCAACAAGCCCGTGTGGGGGCTTGCATGAGCTGTGTGCCTGCACACCCCAATGGTGTGCAAGCCCACGCGTACCCACGCGTACCCACGCGTACCCCCGCTACTTGTGCAAGTGGGAACATGCTCATCCATGCTCACCCACCACTCTGGGTCCAGGTCACGGTCCAGTAGTGGCTGCTGGGGTCCGAGGGTTGGGGATCCCCGGTTTAGGTTCTGTGCATTGTGGAAGTTTTTCCTCAAAGTTCCCCGCGCAAAGGATGAAAACTTGAAATGAGATCGAACCACCATTTGTTCTAGAACTCACGTGGTGTCCAACTCGCCGCGCCCCGTCGTCGTCCTGTAGAGTCTCGCAATGTTTTCCCCCTTCGCAGAGCTGGGGCAGACGTGGCCTGCTGCGACGCATCCAGCCTGCCGCCCGCCAGTTGGACACCCCTGTTCTAGAACGTCTAGGGTTTTGTGCTTAAGCTGGGAGTCAGACTAGAAGACCTCTAAGGTCCCTTCCAACTCTGGGAAGTAAGACTGCCACATTAGAAATTGCCAATCAAACTTACAACCATTGCAGCTTCTCCAGGGTCACACGATCCCAATCCAGATGTTTGGCCGATTCATATTTATGATGGTCACAGTGTGTCACACAATCCCCTTTGGCAACCAGCAAAGTCAATGATTCACTGAACTGCTGGGTTACCGACTTAGGGAGTGCACGGATTCACTTAACAACCGAGGCGAGAAAAAGCCTCAAATGGGGGGGGGGCAAACTCAACTTAACCAATGTTTCACCGAAAAACAGAAATTTGTGGTAGTAAGTCGAGTGGTGTGGTGGCCTAGAGGTGGTGCTGTCGCCTCACAATCAGGAGGTTGCAGGTTCAATCCTAAGGAGAGGCAGATATTTCTCTCTGGACACACTGAGAATGTATCTACTGAATAAAACTCCGCATTGGCGACAGGAAGGGCATCTGGCCAGTAAACACTCAGCTTAACCAATGTCTCACTGAACAACGGAAATTTGGGTACTCGATTGCAGTTGTAAGTTGAATGGTGTGGTGACCATAACTTTCTGACTGTGAGCCGAGGGTGCCACAATACCACACTATTTGACTTACGACTGCAATTGACTTGACTCTACGACTGCAATCCACTCAACTTACGACCGCAATCGAGGCAAATATTTCTCTCTGGACACACTGAGAATATATCTGCTGAACAAAACTCCGCATTGGCAACAGGAAAGTCATCTGGCCAGTAAACACTCTTGCTAGCTCCATTCAGCTGCCCAGACTCCGCCCTCCAAGGGATTATGGGCTCGCGAAAAGGAGACGACTGCAGTCGAGGACTATGTGTCTTGACCAAGTCAGCTGGCTGTTCATGCGCTGAATTGGGTGAAAATGCGCTACGTTTCTCTCCGCATTCCCTCAACACGGAATGGCATTGTGGGGGGGGGATGCCTGGAGCCCACTCCTGCCTCTCCCACCCTCCCCCCGCCGATGCTCCTTCTCACCGTCGCAGAGGGTGACTCCGTCGTGGCACTGCCGGCTTTGGAGAGCTTCTCTGGGACACGCCAAGCCGCCAAAGCGAGCTGGGGGGTTGTTGCACTCCCGAGTCCTCGTCGACACGCCATGGCAGGCGTCACAGGGAGACCAGGCGCTCCACGAGGACCAGCCGCCATCGACTGCAAGAGCGTGAAACACGGGAGGGAGGTTTGATAAAGCCACAGTGGCTGGTAGCCCCCCCCAATATATAAAGGTAGTCCCCATTTAGTGACTGTCACAAACAGTCACTTGGCGAGCAGTGAATGTGTTTACAACAGGCCTGTCAAGCAAAGGAAAGCCAAAATCAGATTGTAAATCCTCCTTTAGCGACGGCTTGGCTGAGCAACGGCTTGGCTTAATGACCAAGTCACCAACTGCAGTTGCAGTTTCCTCAATGAGGACTATGTACAAGTTTTCAGGCTTTCTGGAGCAGCCTCCAAATATCTGAAATTTGGGGTTCTGTACAAGAAATGTTCAGTTTGGTCTCATGGTTAAGGTGCCAGATTAGAAACCAGGAGGCTGTGAGTTGTCGTAGCTCCTTAGGCCTAAAAACAGGCTTTGAGTATGTCTGGGAATGGATAGATTTAGATAGAAATAGAGATAGATAGATAGATAGATAGATAGATAGATAGATAGATAGATAGATAGATAGATAGATAGATAGATAGATAGATAGATAGATAGATAGATAAACGGGTAGACGGATAGACTGATGGATAGATGGATAGATGGATAGATAGGGATTGAGAGATATAGATAGATATAAAGAAATATAGAGATAGACAGATATAGATAGAGATAGATGATAGATAAATAGATTGAGATAGGAGATTGATGGATAGATAGATGGATAGAAATAGAGATAGATAGACAGATAGCTATAATAGATATAATAGAGCCCCCGTTTTAAGGCTCTCACCTGGGCAGAAACTGGCCACAAGACACGCTCTTCTCTGCAGCTGGACCCCACCGTCTCCGTGATACTCCTGCGCCCCCTCGCACTCGCGGCCTCCATGCTGGGGCTTGGGGCAGCTGCAAGTCCGGTAGCGAGTCACCATCTCGCTGCCACATGTCCGGGAACAGGGGCTCCACTGCGCCCAGTCACACCAGCCCCCCGGCACTGGAGGGGCAACAAAACGGTTCTCCTTTTCCTCCCCTTTTTCCATCCTCTTCCTCCCTTCTCTTTCTCCTCCATCTTTTTCTCCTCCTCTTCCCCTTCCCCATTTTTCCCCTCTTTTCTCCTCTTTCCTCCTTCTCCTGCCTCTTCTTCTTTCTTCCTCCCCCTCCCCTTCTTCCTCCTCTCCTCCTCCTCTTCCTCCTTCTCTTCTCCCCTCCTCCTCTTTCCTCATCCCCCTCCCCCACCTTCCTCCTCCTCCTCCTCCCTCCTCCTTCTTCCTCCTCTTCCTGCTCCTCCTCTTCCTCCTCCTTTCCCCCCTCCCTTACCTCCTCTTCCTCCTTCTCTTTCCTCTTCTCCTTCTCCCTCCTCCTCTTCCTCCTCCTTTTTCCTCCCCTCCCCTCCCTTTTCCCTCCTTCCTTTTCCCCCTTCCTTCCTCTTCCTCCTTCTCTTTCCTCTTCTCCTCTTTCCTCATCCCCTCCTCCTCCTCCCTCCTCCTTCTTCCTCCTCTTCCTCCTCCTCCTCTTCCTCCTCCTTTTTCCCCC